TCAAATCGAATTACCTAAATTTATATAAATAGTTGATTTACAAATTTATTTAACTGCAGTTAAATAAATAAATTCTAAAAATATTACATTTTATTAAATAATTTTTTTTTATTAAAAAAAATTTTATAATTATATATATAGCTTTTTATAATATTTGATATAATAATTATATAAAATTTAATACAAAATAATTTAAATAATAAATTAAATAATAGAATTAGAATAAAAACTTTTATTTATGATAATTTTTTTTCAAATTTCAAAATTAAATAATTGAAATAAAAATTTAAAAAAAATTTCTTTTTAATTAAAATCTTAATTTATTCATTTAAATACCAATAATTATTATTAATATAAATAATGAAATTAAAGGTTTTATTTAAAAAATAAAAGATATTAATTTTATTCTAAAAGATAAAAATATAAAATATAATAGATTTTTAATTTAAAAAATATAAGTAATTTTAAAATTAAAGATATAAAAAGGTTTACTTTAGATTTTATAAATAAAAATTTATTTAAAATTTATAAAAAATGTATTAAAAATAATTTTGATTTTTATAAATTTAACAAATTATATTAATTTCAAATAATTATTAAAAGTTATATATATAAAATATAAATTATTTAAAAATTTAAATTCTTAATTAATAAAAAATTAATTTTCTAATAATATATAACAAATGATATAAATTAAAAAATATATATATTGTAATAAGGGCAGTAATATTTTTACATGATATCTATCTACTATAAATTTTACATTACATGACACTATATATACTAACTCCTTTCAATTACCCCCACCCCTAAAATATTACGTAATAAATGTCACAAATTCAATATGATTGATATAGAATTCATGTAAATCATATAATCTACGATTAATTTTTTGATTGAAATTTTCTATCTTTAATAATGGCACAACAATGTCAAGGAGTTGGATGTACGAAAACTGCAAATTTACAGTGTCCAACGTGTTTAAACCTAAAAATCCCAGGATCGTTCTTTTGTTCACGAGATTGTTTCAGAGCAAATTGGGTATGATATGTCAAAAGCGTTGCTAGATTTTTGCATTACCGTTTCATTAAAGTTAACGATTTATTTACATACAGTCTACACATAAACTGATACATGAGAAAACTTACATACCAAAGTTTTCGTACACTGGAACTTTGCGTGCAGTATACCCTTTGTCTCCAAAGAGACAGGTTCCTCTACATATAGAAAGACCGGACTATGCCGACAATCCTTCAGGTTTTTTTTTTTTACTTTTCAACTGTATAGTCATTAGTTATATAATTATTCTTATACATATGTTATAGGTATTTCGAAATCTGAACAAGCTGCAAAAGTTAATGCACCCATAAAAGTGTTGAACGAAGTAGAAATAGAAGGGATGCGAAAAGTTTGCAAGGTCCGAAATTTTTTGATCCATTATATCCATTATAACTATAGCAAACATTTACATAATATTTACCTGTTATAAGTTTTTATTTAACAAACCCTTTTCTTTGGTTACTAGCTTGCACGTGAAGTTTTAGATATAGGTGCTGCTACAATAAAACCTGGCGTGACAACTGATGAGATTGATCGAGTTATTCATGAAGCTATTATCGAACGCGATTCTTATCCGTCACCTTTGAATTATTATGAATTTCCAAAATCCGTTTGCACGTAAATGCACGAATAATAAATTCTAAGTCGTGAATTTATAAATTTTTTTTTTTTTTGTTGTCGTTTATATATTTAAAAAATTTTAACATGCGATATTACTTTAGTTCAGTGAATGAAGGTACGAAGAATTTAGTAATGATTTTTTGAAACGTTACAAGGTAAAATGTCTGACTTCAAATTCAAATAATTAACATAGTCATTTGCCATGGGATTCCGGATCAACGAGAATTGGTGGAAGGAGACATTATTAATCTGGATGTAACCTTATATCACAATGGATTTCACGGGGATTTAAATGAAACTTATCCCGTTGGAATTATTGATGAAGAAAGTAAAAAGTTAATCAGAACTGCAAAAGAATGTTTAGATAAAGCCGTTGAATGTGCGAAACCAGGTTTCTTGTACCGTAACCTTGGAGCAGTTATTGAAAAACATGCCAAGACGAATAATTGTTCTGTTGTCCGTACTTATTGTGGACACGGCATTCACGGGTGGGTATTATTATGATTATTATCTTTTACCTTGTTGTGATGAATAATATATTCTAACGCGCTGTTCATATAGATTATTTCACTGTTCACCTAATGTTCCCCATTATGCAAGTAAGTTCCTTTGCTATCTAAATAACAAACTTTTTTAATTCTCACAAAGTAAATAACGAACATTTGATCTGTAGAAAATAAGGCTGTTGGAACGATGAAACCTGGTCACTGTTTTACAATTGAACCAATGATAAACCTTGGTGCGTAGAAAGGAATTTCGAACCAATCTTTTAATAATTCACTGTATATTATATTTATTTATCTTATTTATTTTATAGGTACGTGGCGCGACCGACATTGGACAGATAATTGGACTGCTGTAACCGAAGATGGAAAACGTAGTGCACAATTTGAGCACACTTTATTGGTAACACAAAAAGGGGTTGAAATTTTAACAGCTGGTAAAAATGAATAACAATACATTTCTGATCCGCGTATACAGAGTGAAATTTTATTTATATTTATAATTTAAAAGGATACATGATATAATACATTCTATTATAGATTGGTTGTGAAAATTAATTCATTTACTAATGGGAATAATTGCTTTCTTGAAATTGAATTGTCCTCCTGGTTATAGAATTTAATGTGATCCACGTTGGTAGTTAAAGATTTGCGTTTCAATTGTAGTTTCTTTTCCAATTGCTGAGTAAATTTGTCCCTAATGAATATATTATCCTTATCATCCTTGGAGAGAAACACAAACTCCCGTTTAAATCCTTTATCTTTATGATTATAAGCCATCATTATAATAAATATATCCAACTTCATTTTGATTGAAAAAGATTTAAACGAATCGATGAGTTTATTTATGTCATCATCTTCACGATTAATCCAACCCTCTAAAAACCAATATACACTGCTTACACCAATTTTATAAGTATTTAAATCCCACTCCTTGTAATCTTTACGCAAAAGGTCGATATTTGAAAAATGAGTAACGTCAAGTTTAACATTTTGAATTTCTTCGAAATATTTACTTGTAAAATTTTCTCGAGTAGATATAGGAATTTTTAATACATTTAATAAAAATTGAGTAGCTTCTCGATCTTTATTTGTTACTCTATTTTTAGATTCGTCTAATAAGATTGTATCTACTAATATTGGAGCTAATAATAGTTTAGCTAATTTAGCGTACCAAGAATTCTCATCATCATCTCGAGAAATTTTTTTTTCCCAATCATTTTTAAAATGTAATACGACTAATGAAGTAGCAGAACCAACTGTTTCAATTTGACGACACTTGTCATTGAGATATGGATATAACTTTTCGTCTGAATGATGATCCAAAATTGCAACTATTTTATCATTAAATTTCTCATCCCAAGGAGAAATTAATTTATTATGATCTACCAGAATTAAATTTACATCATAATTTTTTGAAGATAATTGATTTAAATGAGGTGATACGTCGTCTAGGAAAAGAAGTTGTGATATGTCGAGTGCGGAAAAATTACATTGATTAAATACGTAAGAACATTCTGGTCGTAAGTAAAGATCAGACCTTGGAATTTGAATGATAGGAAAGTATAACGAAGAAGTAGTTGATTCATTAGGAGCAATTAATTGTTGACTTAGATACGAGTATACTGTTGCTGCTATAATTGAATCCAAATCTATACGTATGGAGTTAATTCAAATAAATAAATAAATATTATATATATATATATATATTTTGAAAAAAAAAAAGGAAATTCATAGTTTGACTGACCGGCCGCTTCATTACCACACACAAAATAAAGCTTCTTTTGTTGTTGTTTGTTGACATTCGAATCACCAATTATCGAAAAAAACGTTTTGGCAAATTCAAACATTTTTCTGAGTTACGATCAATTAGATCAGGATCGGTTATTGTTTTGATCGTAAAATCCGTTAATCAATCCGAACATCATTTTGATTATCTAAGCATTATTTTTTTAATTTTTTTTTGTTCGATCATAATTTTGTTTTGTTTGTTATAGACATGGTAAATTTCAAAATCGATGAATATTATACTATCACGATTAAGTAATTTCTTTTAATTCAAATATTTATTATCTTTAGATTCGATTCATCTTGGTACAAAACCGACAGGGAAAAACACGTTTGTCAAAATGGTATGTTCCTTACGAAGATGATGAGAAAGTAAAGTTAAAAGGGGAAGTACATAGATTAGTTGCACCTAGAGATCAAAAACATCAATCAAATTTTGCCGAGGTAAATCAATAGGTTTTTTTTTTTTTAATTTGTTCATTTTATTTGTACGTATGTAAGTAATTCACGCTTCCTTTTTTTTTTTTAGTTTCGAAATTATAAAGTGGTTTATAGAAGATATGCAGGATTGTTTTTTTGTGTATGTGTTGATGCAAATGATAATGAATTGGCATATTTAGAAGCAATACATTTTTTTGTAGAAGTTTTGGACGCATTTTTTGGAAATGTGTGTGAATTGGATTTGGTATTTAATTTTTACAAGGTAAACAAACATTCTATATGTATAAAGTAGTGATTATTATTATACCTTTGAGACTTCATTAAAGTCAATTTTTTATTTAGGTATATGCAATATTGGATGAAGTGTTTTTAGCAGGTGAAATTGAGGAGACTAGTAAAAATATTGTGTTAACTAGATTAGATCACTTGGATAAATTGGAATAATTTTAAAAAATGATTAATTGATTAGAATATATATATATATATTTTTTATATATATATATATAATTATTTAATAAATAATATAAATAATAGAATAATTCAACATAATAATAATCTCTTAAATTATTAGTAATATTACTATTTCGTTCATGTTTCAGTTTTATTTGATGAATCTAAATTACTATTATCAAATCCATTGGTATTATCTCTTTTTTTTTGTAGTGATGATTTTCGACTACCATTGCTCAACCCCAATCCATTACTCATAATATTAGAAGGTAATATATTACTTCTAGTTGTATTGATAAATCCAGAGGTAATACTATATTGAGTTGGATCAAGTGTTGGTGAGGGTGAAGTATTCGTGTTTATCCATTGTCGTGAATGCGTCACATGTGTTGATAGTAGTTGTGTATTTGCTTTAGAACTTGGCGGTGATGTCACATAATGTACATGTAATGTAGTTAAATTACCGCTTAACCAAGAATTCATGACCTTTGCTCTTTGCTTTTCACCTAATCTCGATTTTGGTAACGTCCCAGGTCCAAGAAATACGATTACATCAATAATAAATTGGTGTTCATCCAATATTGAATTCAATACGCATGGAACCAAATTGAGAATTCCTTCTTTTGCCCTCGTTTCTATCACACATACAACTACTCCATTAGCTTGAAAAACCACACATCCATCTGGTGAAATTAAACTATAATGACTCAATTGATGACACCTTTCAACTGTAAATTCAATATCCACTGGGAAATGTATCAATCCATTAACTTCAAATGTCTCTGCGATTGGCCCTAAAAAGAATAAACATTGGTATTCCAACAATATTCCACTTTCTCCTGCTGGTCTATGAATTGTATATAAAAATCCTAAATCTCCTGTACGTAAGTATGTTATCCTTGGATCTCCTCCATCTATTGTCGCAGAATATCGAGCCTGATCTAATGGATCCATTGACCCATGTAAAGACTTCGCATTGGCATCGCTACTAACCCATATTTCTCCAAATTCATTTGACAAACACGGACGTCTTGTTTCCGGATGTATTATGGCTACTTGCGTTGACACTGGAACCTAAAAAAACCGTTAAATAACATGTCAAGGTACGTGTAATTCATTACTTTTCTAGTCTCCCCTTTTTTTTCATTTTCATTTTCATTTTTTTGTATTTCCTAGAGATCAACAACTTACCGTTCCCGAGTCATGTAATAACACTCCAAAAGGTTCATCTTCTGGGTCAACAACTTTAACAATTCCTCTTCTCAAACTTTTCAAATCCAAATATAATTCAATCGGTTCTACGCACATATAAGATCTTGTGGTTATCATGGGATTTGCTATATGACTGTATACATAATTTACTGCCACATCATCTAATCGATTGGCCAAAAATGTTTTCACTACCTTCTTATCTATAAATAACAAGATAAGCCAAATTAGGAGAAAGTATTGTTAAAAATCATTTGAGAGCTATTTATTACTTACATAGAGATACATTTGGTCTACCATCAATCGGGATCATTAAATTCTTTAAATGTTGTAAAGAAAAATTTCGATAATCCTCGTTCTCAAAAGATGACATTGCGTGTTGTAACATTGGAAACGTAGCATAAGTGTCCTTGACTACATTTAATCAAAGAAAAACATGTAAAATTTAGATACGAATAAACGGGTATACATATATTTATATACTTACTTTTAAATTTAGATATGGTTTCAAACCATACTAATGGATTCGTATGATAATCAAGTGGTGTGATGAGAATTGTCGGTGATCCTATGCGTGTCAAGAAATAAATTAATTAATTAAAATAACTAGTTCATTCTTTATCCCCTTTTAAATATCCTTACCAAGGTAGATTCCAATTAATATCGTATGCACAAATCCAATACCGCTAAAATGTCTAACACAACTTAATCCCGCCCGTGAACTTCTCAACCTACAAGTCTCTTTTTGCACTTTACATAGTGCTAACAATGTATCATGATCCAACCTTACACAACTTTTTCGTTGATCGGCTGAAAAGTAGCACATGATGATTGCTGTCCATTGTGGTTTTAACCATTCTTCCATCATAATGAAATTTGATTCTTTCAAAGTCTTTGTGTATTTCGGAGCTCTTGCTATATTAATGAGCTGAGGTAATACTTTGTTATTGCTACCTCCTGACTGTTTTGATCCTCCACTCATTGTTTTTATGAAATTTAATATTTGTTTGTTTTTAAGTATTTGTTCGGTATCCGTATTTACTAATAAATAACTTATTTTAAACTCTTCAATTAATTCAAATAGCGCAGGTATATCCTCTGATGCTCTCGTAGGCTCTATTTGTGATATGGGAATTGCTATTATACCCAATAACATACATGAAAATATACTGCACACAAAATCTATCCCATGTGAAAATATTAAAACAGTGTGATCTCCAGCTTTACATCCTTTTTTCTGTAAAAAACTTACTACAGTCGCTATACGATTGTTTAATTTCTTCCATGATATTGGCTTTCCTTCTTTTCCTTTCGTATCTAATATATTATATGCGGTTTCATCGGGTGATATTTGTGTACGCCATAATAATACATCAACTATACTTCGGAATTTTAACAAATTGAAACTGGTTTTTTCATCCAATACCTCTTGTGGAATTTCTACCCTGGTATATTGAGGCCTTCTTAATGCCACTGACCCGTTACCCATTTCTTGTCTTGCGGCCATAGCGTCTAAGTAAAATAAATAAATAATTAGTAATGATCATCTCTATAATAATTTCCTTAAACATTTATTCCATAATAATATGTTTTTCTTTGTTCACCTCTCATAATCAACCCTAACTTACTCGGTCCCCATATTCCAGCAACGGTATCTTCTCCCATCGGTATATCAAATATCGTTTCTGTTGCACAAGTCTTAACATACAGTACTTTTAATCGTCCGTACTCAAAATACTGTTTACATGCTATACTATTTATTAATTTTTTACCATTCTTCCATGTACGTGGCAACGATTGTTGTGCACATATTGATATTGTATAAAGACGGACGTCATGATACGTAAATAATTTGTCATATATTTCATCAGCAAGAGCGGTCAAGTTCTCTATCGGTAACGAGGATTCTGCTATCACCACTGGCAAATTTTGGTCTTTTATATAAATTTCAATTACAGCACTATTAAGTTGATATTAGGATTTAAGTAACCTTTTTAAAATATATATATATATATATATGCGAAAGCAAACTCAAATTTTTTTTGGAACTTACCAATCTTGAACACCTTCAACCTTTTTCGTAATGGTATTCTCCAAATCCAAAGTATAATGAAACTTAAACTTCATTTTTTCTTCTTCCTCATCCTTATCATCATTTGCCTCCTCTTCATCACTCGATTCATCATTCTCACTCTTGTTTATTACAACCAATTTCTGTAGTTTTTCCTTTACAATAGGTTCAACTAATAGCCTTATTCGATGTTCATATAATCCAAATATAACCAATTGTCCATTAATTAATGATCCTAAAAGACCTGTCCTCAAAAATTCTTGTTCGAAATATTCGGGTTTCTTGGTATCACCAGGTACTAATATCGGACGAGCGTGGAAAATTGATTCGGTATGTTTTGGTAGATTCCAAAATCCTCCTGACAATGATGGTGAATCGACCCATATTTCTCCAACTGTATTTGGCAAACACAATGCTGTTGTCTCTGGGTCAACAACCGCTATTGTAGCTATATGTATATTTTTAAAAAAAATAATAGATTTATTAAAACAACGTTAAATTTGTATTGCTAATTATTAATGATTTAACTTACCTTCAGGCATGACAAATCCAAAAGCTCCAACTCTCATGATACTTCGTTCATCATGTCTCTTCGTATCTTGATCATCTCCAGTTTCCACAACAACAATACGATTTTCTTTTAGTTCCTCACGGTCCAATAAAAATTGTTTGACACCTCGTTCTCCCTCAACCCTGTTATCTAGTCCTTGCACACCAAGCAAGTCACCGAAGCTTAAAATCATACCTCCATGTTCCGGCAAACTACTTAGTGGAGTCAAAACATCTTTCGGAAATTGCGTACCCAGAGGAGAAAGAAGTTGTTCAATAATTTCTTGGTTCAAATAAATATCTATTGTAAGCGTGTCGATAAACAAAAAACGTAATGATGAAAGGATAGGTGCTTGTTTTTTTGAATAGTTTAAAGTTGCCGAGGGATCTGATCTATACGACGATACGATTGGACTCAAGCCTGGATAATCTGCTAATGCGATAGTAACTTTATATTTCGAAATACAATTTACCCATAAACCAGGCACATCAGGTCCAAGGCTGCCCAAATATATAGTAATATTACCACAATAAACTCCCCATAATGCACCTAATATTAAACCAACTTGTTGTCTTGGCTCTAAATAACTTAATACCGTATCAACAAATTTATCATTCATTTCCTCAGGATTTCCTCCTTCTATTCCATCATTGGCAGATTGTTGTTGTTGTGATTGTTCATGTTTAATTTGATTGTTTAAATGTTCTCTCATTTTTGCATCTGTTACACTTGCTCTCATAGAATTACATTGTGACATAATAGTTTGATGGCTTATCGCCACTCCTTTCAATTCTCCATTAGGACTCCTTGTATATTCAATATAGGCCAATTCAGTGAGATGAGTTACTCCAAGTTCATCACCTTTCTTTAAATTCAATGCTCCAAATTCATTTGTTTTCCACCAAGTTACATCCGGCAATTCTTTTTTTTGTGCCAATAAATCTCGCGTTAATACTTTATGATTATGCTCTGTAGTTAATACTAACTTTGATTCTGTAGTTTCCAATATAAATAAGAGTTCCTTAAACTCTTCAACAGCATTAATTGGTACAGCCACAACACCCGCAAAGAAACATCCATATAATGCTACCAGAAATTCCAAAATTTCTGTCTTCCTATAAATCAATGCCACTCTTTCACCTCTCATTAATCCACTATCTCTTAAAATTATTTGTGATACTTTTTCCGCTCTCAAATGTAACTTTTCCCATGTCCATACATGCGTTTCGCGACCCTTTTGATCCAATACTATAAAGGCCGTTTGTTTTGGAGTCATTTGGCCTCTATATCTTAATAATGTCGCTATATCCGCATAATTTGATATTAATGTTGAAGGATTCAACGGATCCATATTTTCAAATGGCAATTCTCTTGGCTCAAACGGCATAAATTGTAATCCTCCTAATTTTGATAATTCAGGATCAAAACTTGGTGTTGAATCTAATATTTCTGAATATGTCAAACTATTGTATAAAGACATTCGCTTTCCAAAGTCTAAAAAAGAAAGATGTATATTATTTCCGCGAAATAAAAAAAAGGGAAATAAATTAAATAAAAAATTAAATAAAATAATGTTATTTACGTTTTTCGGGTCTATCATCAGAACTAAACATTCCACCAAATCTTTGCCCGTTCTGGTTTGATATATTAGACTTTCCTGACCTGATTGAAGCATTGTCGTCAGCTATATTTTCATAAAGTAACGTTAATATAATAGATTTCACTTTTTTTCGATCGATCTTTCTTAATGATACTCACGGAAGTGATCGTGTTCTATATCTAAACTTCCTTGCGCACCATCATTCATTACTAGATTTCTGATAATTGGACCAGATGGAACTCCTGGGATTGGACGAATTTGTGGTATTTGAGGATTAATAGGTCTCACATGAGGTGCGGGTCTAGCAGGGTATACGGTTGAAGTAGAAAAATACGGCAATTGATATCCAAGTGGTGGAGGCAACGGGGGGCGCCCTTGAGTCTGTATAGGTCTAAATTGGGGTGGACCAAACGCAACATGATGAGGAGATAAGTGATTATATGGGGGTCTATAATGAAATTGTTGATTACTATTTGGAGGAATATTATTAGGTGAAGTAGATAATGAAGTGGAATGTATTTGAGCTGAATCAGAACGACGATTTGTTGCTGTTAAAGGATCGGATCTAGTAGTAGTATTATGAACAACTGTATCAAAGCTTTGTGTACGGCCATGAATTTTTAACCTTTCCATATCAGCACTTGTTCTGGGAACGAGCTGATGGTGTTGCGTAGCATTTGGTAAGGGAGCATGAGGAGGAAGTAAAGAAGGATGATCGGGAAATCCGGCGTATTGCTGGTGATTTAGATTATATTGATATGAATTATCAACATCATGTTTATAACCATTTCCACTAGCTGTGCTGCTAACATAGTTAGTTGGAGAAATGCCCCCATCTTCAGCTCTAGGAGAGGTCCTTCCTAATACTCCCAACAGTTGATTTTTTTCTAATAAAGATTTTTTTTTCACTTCGAACCCTTTTTCTGTTAATACCCCATCCTTATATTCTTTTTCTAATACTGCTAATTGGAGTTCTGGTGGTAATGAATTATAATCCATTTAAATAATTGCTTTTTTGTTAAATCAATGTTTCTCAAGTATAAAAAAAATCTGTCAAATTAGATTCAATAATTAAGTGATGATAAATAAATAAGTTTTGTATTATTGTTATTTTTTTTAGTTAAGTGATCCAATTTTAAATCGTGTATACCACAATTTTAATTTCTTCTATTGATAAAAGTACTACCATTAATAATAAGTATTTGTTAAATATTAAAATAATAAATAATAATCGAAAATTGATTAGCAGAAGAAAGGTAACAAATTTATTAATTAGATTTAAACTTCTGTTCTTAACTACATATAAAAGAATCAAAAAAAAAAAAAAAAAAAAAAATAGATTCTTTAAGCCCATAACAAATTTTCACGAAAGCAAATTAAGCAAAAAGAACCTACCGAGTGTGTGAGACAAGAAATAATTCGAAATCCAGAATAAAACCAGAAAAGTCGCTCAACGACACTTTTTAAGCAGAATCTAATATAAGCACGTCTACTCAAAGCATGAGTCAAGTGGTAAATAATCTAAATATACTTTTATGGACGATTAATTATAAATAAATATAAATACGTTAAATCAAAAAATGGTTGGTGTGATAACATCCGACTAATTGGGTATACAAAGTGATGTAATAGTTTTCAAACATACTTGGTGAAAGCGGCAATTGGTAACGTGAATGCAGTATTCTATATGCGTGATAAAAATAACATCAAAGATTGTAATGTAAAAAAAAAATAGAATAAGCCATATGTCTTTTCTAATATATTTCGACATCACACGTGATCATTGATAAAAATAAAAATGGTTAAATCATAACGATAAATTAAATGTAAATATATTAAAGACGATATTTAAAATCATTAATATCTGCAGGGGATTCAAGCCATATATTTTATTTTTCCAATTATATCCTTAAAAAGCTGGATAAAAAAATATATTTTTTTTTGGATTTAAAATAATCGTTGATTTATTAATTTGTTTAGTAACCCATCAGTTATATAATGAACCCAGTCAGTTGAGCTGAAAATTCTTTATCACCTGATCCGGTGCCTTACGTGATAGGTTTTGATTAAGCTGAACATAGTATTATTATAATGATTCTCACGTGAATCTTTTCTTTCTCCCCTTCTGATTATGGAATTATTTTATTTTGAGAACAAATTTTTTATTTGGAATTAATATAAAGATTATATTCAAAAAAAAAAAAAAAAAAAAAAAAGAACTCTAGTAATAAGATAATTTTTGTTATAAGATTAAACTTCCTTCCTTATTAGTAATAAATAAATCAAATAAGTCAATACCGAAATCATTTCTTATCTATTAATATCTAATGACTCCTAGCTATTTCTGAAAAATAACCCAACAAATCGTCCATGGAAAACTCTAAAGTAATATTAGCATCAGGATAACATCTGTTAATCGTTAATGTAAATCTTTCATGACTACGAATTACTTCTTCCTCTATTGCATGCCATACAACTTGTAAAAGGCGACCTCCTTCTTCTTCCTTGAAATGCTTTTCAACTCGTTTATATAATGACTCAAGACCTTTCTTAATCTATAAGAAACGTTAAAAATTTTTCATTAAATATTTAGATTTAATTTTAGAAATATGTATTTATATTCTTACCTCTTTTCCGGGGTATTGTGATATAACTTTCTTTAATGCCGATTTATTGAATTGAATTCTGAATCCAACTTCTTCTGGAGCTGCATTTGTTCTCAATAAACTTTCTATACCTTCGAAAAATTCCTACATGACGAATATAAAAAACTTAATAGAAATACTAGTGAATATAAATATTCACTAAAACACACAGTGAACGCTTACCAGCATTTTTCCAAATGGTCTTCGAACCATTGTTCTAGCGTATGCATCCATATGTTTATCATAAGAACTCTTTGCATATCTCATAAATGGTTCAAGAATAATAATCCGACGTGAACGGATCTCAGAATAAAAATAATGCATATTCTCTGTTTATAAAATAAAAACGAGTCAGACATTATCTTAATCAAGGAGATTGGTTTTATTTGTATATTGCTTACCTAGAGTCATTATATGAGCATTCAATTGTTCTTTATCATCAACAGGAGAATCAGCATCTTTTGCAATGGCTTCAACACATTCAAACATTGTTTTAACAATACGCTCATAAGCTCTGTTTACAATACGGCGCATTTCAAGCTTTTCATCTTCAATCATTGAATGCTCGATACGTTCAACAAAACGCTTTAAATAAAATTAGTAAAAATTTAAATATATAGGGAATATTACATCATAACTGTAATCTTATTATATCAACTTACTGGAAATATGCGCATAAAAATAACAATTCCTTTTCGTTTTTTGGACGTAACTTTAGTCTCTTCGATTGCTTTAAGTTGCTCATTCTATTATTCATAAATTATCCTTAATATAAAGTTATTTAATTTCAAAAAAAAAAAAAAAAAAAAAAAAAAAAAAAAAACCCAATGTAAAATATCTTACAATGAAAATTTCAAACCTACTAAGACAATGTAATCTCACTTGTTGTAACATCCTTACAACAAAATCTTGTGCAATTTTTTCATTGGCATGCATATACTTTTCTAGAGAAACTATCATACCAATAACTTGACTTTATTCCAAAATAATAAATTATAATAAATTTTTTTTTCTCTGACAATAATTATCATTTTACATATTAAGATATTTATACTTGCATGTTGTCATGTTTACATCCATAATCGACAAACGAGAACAATTCTTCAGGTAGAAAACTGAAAAATTTTTCCATATGTTCACTAAAATAAAGCCTATATTAATATAAATAAATTTTTAAATTAATAAATTTCAATTAACATATATGATTTACACTAACGTTAATTTTTTTTTCATTTTATTATCTTCGATACTTCGATCCTCTTTTTTGTTTTCGGCTTTTTTTTTTTCAAGGTGGAAAAAATCCAAAATGAAATTTTGTTCATTAACCATAAGTGGTACAATGGTTTGAAGACAATGGTCAAAAGCCTAACAAAAATTATTAAATATAATTAAAAATTTTTTAATACTACAGAGACGAGTACTTGAATTATTATTTACCTCTTCCGGAGGGAGTTTACCGCCACCTCCATCTTTAAATTCCCAGGGTGGTTTTAAGCTTTCCGATGTAAGCCAATTATAACCATAACTTAAACTAGTACGATGACTTTGATTCAATGCAGCACTGAAGACTTATGACATACAATGTATCAATAAGTATCACTTAGATAAATATTATTATAAGATTCACGTCTCACCATAAGATGCTTCCTCTGCCAATTCTCGTTTCGACATCAAGTGTCTCATTTGTGAAAGATATGCTTTTGCCTCCTTCTT